TGAGCAGTGCTGTGATCGTTAGCTAGAGCTAATCTTTGTTTTATAATGCTTGCAAATGGTAAATCCCAGGCAGTTTTCAAGTCACTACAACTCCAGTCTAAACATTGCAGTGAACCAAGCCAAAAATCGCGTCTAAGATTCTGCTAATTAACCCCTAAAACATCTTACTAAAATTACTTTATGAACAAAAATTGGCATCGAAAACACCAGGGAGGGATGACATCCAAACAAGCGGACGTGCTACACAGCCAGCGTTGTAGCAGACCGAGATATCATCTATATGATCGAGTGCAATGTAATGAAATAACCTCAATTTTGCCTTTAGACAACATTCAGTACCCATTTTTTAGCTTAAGTGAATAGTTTTGAAGATCTAAGTCGAGGTGATAGCAGACAGGCTTTTGACCGTTTGTCTTCTTGCCTATTCCTTCTTGTAAACAAAAAATCGGAGCCTATTACCAATGTTAACTTATAACAAATAATGAAGAATGTTGCTGATTTTATTATAATTTAATACAAGTTAGGAATCCTACTTTTGCTTGCAGGGCACATGACTCACCTTGCATGCATTTAAATTGTGCTTTTCGAATCAAATTAACTAAATAATCAGGGCAAACTATCTTTCAAGACAGTGTTAAAGTCCTGAAAGTTTGTACAGCCTTTTGTGAAGGAAGGGGGGAGGAAGAATGGAAAAGGTGAAGAGGAAAAGAGTGTAGACCTAATAATTTCAAATTACTAGAAAGACAGATGAATTGTGTTTGCCTCGAATCAGTTATCCCACTGAGGATCTGTCTTTAGGATTTGCAGGGTAATTGGTTAGAAACAAAGCCGGCCCAACAAATTTCTGGGCAGAATGCGGATTTTTCAATAACTTGGGCAGCACCTTTGGGCTAAACTCTCTTCCTATCCTTACAAGATAGCTCCTACCTCACGCTTTATGCCTTAACCTAAGCCATAATAAGAGACTTTGACTAAGACATGGATGCATTTGCAATTAACAGCAGCAATATGGGGCTGCAGACCTGGCGAAAAATGCAGTTAGCGGTAAATTT